GGGGTGGTCCACCGCCGTGGAGGCCAGCTGGCCCTGTGGGCGCGTCTGGGGCGGGGAGGGGGGGGGCAGTACATGCTTTGGGGTGAGAGTTTCCGCTCCACGTCACCGCACAGTTTGGTGAAAGAGGGGGTTTGCTTCTTCCGGCGCCCACTTGGCGGGGCGGGCGCTACAAAATGGTTTTCATTTACACACCCTCGTCTTGAATTGCTCTGAAACTTCCCGAAAAAAGTCTCCTTTTTTGGCTGAAATGCCTCCTGCGTTGGGCGTGTGCCCAAGCCTGAAGGGGGCGGAGGTGGACTCTGCAACGGCTGGTGTTCCAGAAGCTTCCGTCCCGCGTGGCCTATTGATCATCACCCAGTTTTCAGCACATGGGCCCTTGTTGTTTCGGTTTAAGGTTTCTTCCCACTGGAGGGGCTGGGGCGGGGGGAGGGAGGTTCCCGTCCGTCCATCCATCCATCCGCGCCTTTTCTTGGAGGAAAGGGGTGAGGAGTGAAGCCTGAGCCAGTCCGGGAGGGGAGGCGGCTCGCCGGGGCCCCTCCGTGCGGCCCCCACGCCGGCCCCTCCCACCCGTGCCCCGCGTGTCCCGCGTGTCCGCAAGCAGGCACTTCCCACGAGAAAAGCTCTGAACCAAAGTCCTGCCGCTGTGTCCTCACCGAGGCTTCGCTCAGCCCTGCGGACAGTGACCAGCCGACGCTGCCGTGTGGGGCCTGTGTCCCGGGTGCGGATGGGGATGTAGCGGCGTCCCAGCCCGTGTCAGGTCCACCCCGGGCCTGACCGTCAAAATGTCTCCAGACGCTGCCAGGTGCCCCCGGAGGCCAAACCGCCCTCGGCTGAGAACCACCGGCCCAGACCCAGCTGTGGGCCGGTTTCTGCCTGACAACCCCAGAGGCCCCCCCACAGGCACTACCGTCTCACGGAACAAGTCAGCCTCAGTTTGAATCAGCCGGCAAACCCGGCGAACCTCGGAGCTTGTTTGAAAACGGGGATCGAGTGGTGTCCATTGCAGGACCTGGAATGTTCTAGATCAGCGGTTCTCAACCTTCCTAATGCCACGACCCTTTAACACAGTTCCTCATGTTGTGGTGACCCCCAATTTCATGGTTACAAATTGAACATAATGAAAGCA